ACACACACACACAACCACCGAAAAAAAAAGAACCGACAACAGACCAATGAACAACCCTTATAGGGACACAAAACAGACAAAAATGTATGCACACCCCCGCCCTCTCCAAACAACCCAATAAAAGAACAGAAAAAACTCAACAAACTATTTGTATACGTTTTCCCCTCTCTTGAAACTCTAGTTGCTGACGAAAATATCGGAAATCATTCGCTATTAACATTTCCCTTGTGTCTGAAGGTGTTTTTTTTGCCTCGAAGAGCATAGCTGTTTTGTTTGGTTTGCTCTACGTTTACAGTTTAATATTACAATCACTTCTATCTACCATAGTTCTTTTGTGTACAGACACCTTGAAATTAATTGATACTCTACTTTGATACCAGCTCAGTGTTTCAGCCCGGACTGCGTTTCAAAAGCTTGCTCGTTGTCTTGTAAAATCGCGAAATCGCACAGAGTGGGCAGTGAGCGGAGGAGAAAGGGGGAGGGTGAGATTGGCTACTAGCGGCCGGGATCGAAGTTAAAAAGTAACTGTGTAATGACGTCGATGCATAGCAAAATAAAATACTTGCCTTTTGTAGTGTAGGACACCTTTCTACTCTCAGAGAGTAAAGTAAGGACGTGGTCTACAGCGAGAGAGGGCCAAATCACCATGTTCCATTACAAAACTGTTGTCGTTCATCACTGTGGTCGTTTCCAATGGGGATACATAATATATTTTGTTTTCTTGTTAACATTTCTCCTACAGATGGCTTTTACTTTCACATCGAGATATTCAGTGCTTAAGTTTCAGAAATCACGGACCTTTGAGCAAAAAATGCTTGCGCTGAAAACTGAGAATACTGATTCCTCAAAGTCAGAGAAGGCGATCGTTTTTGACAATGAAAACCGGAGGTCTTCAACGCCTCTTATAAAAACGAAAGTGGCGAGAAAGGATGATACCTGGAACGCCCCTGAATCTTTGACTTTCTCCGGGACCACACCGAAATCTTGGATGTTGTCCAAAATACCACCCGACAACTGTAGCCAGCTTTTCTCTGACGAAGCTGCGACAAGAAAATGGGCTGTGTCTAGTTTCCGTCGATTTTGCAGCTTGGATTCCGTCTACCCCATACCCCAGAGTATTTCTAAACAGAAAAACAGAGTGATGTTCCAGATATGTAAGGGATTGCTGCGACCGGTTCGAAGAGTCAGCAAGGCTTGTCCGAGAGACCCGGCTATAGCCCCTTATACTCTACCCAGAACCGGTTTGATCAGCTTTCCTGGTTCCGGCAATACGTGGACCAGGCACCTGATACAACAACTGACAGGTGAGTGAGTGATAGAGATGCATCATCAGTCAGCTGATTTCATGCATATGCTCAGAGAGCCTGTGGAGGGAGAGCCAGGACTTAATTGCCCACAGAGATTATCGAGTACCTTTGAAAGAAGGAGTAGAGTAAATCGAGAAGAAAGTCACAGCGGGTCTCGGAAGACGGTTGTTCGAGATTTTTCATAATAAATTATTAACATCTTTTGTAGCAAACTTGGTATGATCATATTATACAGGTTGGTACAGCAGACAACACGGTCAGTAATCTTTTTTGCGAAGGTGACCATGGCATAACGTTAAATAAAATGAGAATCCAAAGTTGTGTCTGTCTCAACAGTTTGGAGCGCTAAAGTATTATTTACGGATATGCATTGTAATCAGGAGCGGTTTGTTAACTGGGCCGCGGTCAGATTTTTGTCAACTGGACTGTTGACTAGAGGTTTACTGCTGATGACGATTTTCATTCAGTTTTAAGTAAATCCAAACAAACATGTATCAACATTCAAAAACACCTTGCCGATT